AAAGGCAAAATAATTATAAAGGTCTATGTACCTAATTACATAGCCTCAAAATATGACATGCTAATTGACAAAATTAAAGGAGAAAATAGACAAAATCACAGCAGATTTTAACAGCCACTGTCAAAGAATGATAGAACTACTAAATAAAACACCAGTAAAGTGAGTATCTGAACAACAAGGATATTATAGACCAAACCATATAACATATACCTAACCATTTATGGAATTTCCATTTTTTTCTTTTCTTTTTTTTTCCAGGATTAGTTTTTAAGGGTATGCAAGAAGGCCAGATCCCAATAACCTTTAGAATTCAGAAGCTTACAGATGTAATTTAAGATATTTCTGTAACTTTTTATTGCCCCAGGTAATAATTGATTTGGTTATTTTTTTCTTTTCTTTTTTTTTCCAATTTTATTTTAATCTTTGTTCAAGTACAGTTTTCTGTCCTTTACTCCCATTTCCATTTTTTTCAAGTGTATGTAGTATGTTTAGCAATACAGACCTTATACCAGGCCATAAAGCAAGCATTAGTAAATGTTAAAGGACTGAAATCTATAATCACAATGGAATTAAATCAGAAATTAGTAAAAACAAGAGATCTAGGAAAGATCTAAGTACTTGGAAATTAAATAACACACTTCTACATAATCTAGGGTCAAAGGAGAAATTAGAAATTTTACCTAACTTAATGAAAATGAAAATGTAACATGTAATTTGTGGGATGCACCTAAAGCAGTGCTTAGTGGGTATTTATAGCTTTAAATGCTTTTATTAAAATAGGAAAGTCATACTCAATGTCTTGGAGAGATTCTAAGCTTATTTACACACTGCCAACTGGGTTTGAGGCCTTGTGTGCCCGCAGAGGAGATGAAAAATTCCAGCCAAAAGTAAAAACTGGGCAGACCTGTAAATTGATTCAACATTGAGTGTGTTCCCAATGCAGCTGGTAAGGGTGCAATGTTACCAATGCAGCTGGTAAGGGTGGAAGCCTTACTGGCTCAAGGTGTTTAAGCACAACAGCTGATCAATAGTTAGCTGGCCACTAAGCTATACTGACTGACCCAAGGGCAACCAACCTCTAGGAGGCCAAGCTTTAAAACTTTTACAAGAATTTTTTAAAAATCAATCACATAAGGCTGTACCTTAACAAGCTAGAGAAACAACAGAGAAAGTAAACCCAAAGCAAGTAAAAGAAAGGAAAAAAAAGAAAAAAATGCAGAAACCAACAAAATAGATAATATTTATCTGTTAAATGCAATCAAAAGCTGTGCTTTTAAAAAAGTCTGATTTAATATAAGCACATTCATACTTTGGAATGAAGTGAGGCCAAGATTCCCCCCACCCCCACCCACCCCAGTCCCAACAAATCATCCTAAACAAATCCTTAAGGTTCCAAATCAGGAATTTATATAACTAGCTGAATTTGGGCTGGCTTTACAAATATTGTAACTGTTGCTAACTCTTCTGAAGCATCTTTATCTGAAGTATGGTGTGTTCCAATCCCCGACTTTCAAAACAAACAAAATGGCTACTTTTCTCAAACTATTACTATAAAATTATAGGCAGATAGAAAATGTCTTATAACATATTTAAAGAAACTCAAAACAATGTCTAAATATTGAAAGTATGACTAGAAATTTCAACTACTTTTGAAATATTGCTGAGCTCTTTTCCCTTGTAACAAAACTTAAGTATGAATGTGCTTCAGATGTGACCATTAAAGATTTCTTATTTAACTACTTTGAGAAAAAAATCTCAAAAATAAAAATCTCAAATGCTAGGGATAAGGGATCTTCTCCATAGTATCAAGTCCCACACTGGCCACCTGAAGAGCGAAAGGGGAAGAAGGCTGAATGCGTGGTTTGTATGGGTTACCACTATCCGAACACCCAAAGCCACCAGGGACCCTCACCTGCCCAGCAGCAGCAGAAAAAAAGCTCAAGATGCACAGCGCTCAATAGAGAGTTTCAAAAATTAGTACAATAAGGTCTCCTAGAAAAAAGAACTCCAGATATTCAAGATCTTGAAAATAATTTTTTAAAAAATCTTGATTAGACTTAATATCAAAAGATAGTATCAACTAAAAGCACCTCCTTAAATGTGAATCAAAAATAGTCTGTAGCTGGGCCAAAGAAGCCATTACAAGCTGCTATATAAATAGGCATTTAATGATTTTTTTCCAAAGTTACATTATTGATCTAACAGGACCTCCATTTCCACAGAAATGAGTAATTTAAAGTAAGATTAATAGGATTTGCAGCACATTAGAATTATCACCATAAAGAACAAATTTTACATTGTCTTTCGATGAAACATCTGTGTAATTTTAGAAATCACAGCATAAGACCAGAGACAGTAGGTATATCCATTGTGTGCAAAAAAACATTTCTAAGTCATAATACTTCAACATCATTTACTCAGCTAAATAAATATTTAACATGCACTTACTAATGCCAGACAATACTACCCTAAACACTGAAAACACAATGGTGAAGAAGAAATATGGCCCCTGTTCTCAAAGAGTTCAGTCTGTCAGAGAAGACAAACAAGGTGTGTCAGTACAGGATGCCAAGCTAGCACAGAAAACAAGGTACATCCCCCTACAAATGGAGCCAGGGAAGACATCCGGAGAAGTGGACATTCAAGCTGAGATGAGGAGGGAAATAGGACCCAGACAGGCTCTAAAGGAACCTGGGTGATAGTCGAGTCAAAGATGGCTTCTGCCAAAGAACATTAAGATCACAGGCACAGCACGTACAAACGGCCAGGTATTTATGTTAAGAGTTGTCTTTTGATAAGAAGAGACAGGACAGTGGAAAATTAGACTTTACTAGTAAAACTGCATATATCAAAAGACAACGGACACCTACTTCTTAATCTGTGAGGAAAAGGGTAAAAGGATCACAATGTCACCTTGGCCTATTCCACATATTACCCGTTCAAACACACATTTATTTATTTATTCATGCCTCAGTGTGTGCCAGGCAGTAGAGAAAGGGATTCAATGGTGAATAAGGTGGACTCAATGTTACCCTCAGGGAAGCAACACACATAGGCAAACAATCAAATAACAGTGCCTCTGTGTCTACCTGATTCTGAAATCATTGCATAAACTACTGAGCTTAAAAGCTACTGTTTGAACAACCTTTCAATAGTAAGTAATGGAGAAATTATTACTGAACATCAAATACGATATAATACCCCATATACATAAATAAGAATTATGCTTGTATTTTAGAGTAAATACTACTAACTAGTGTTTTATAGATGTCAGAGCATTTCTACACACTCTCATTTTTACTGTTCACAGCAAGGGAGGCCAAGTAGTTATTTTAATAATTACCTATCATTTGTCAAGCATTGCTTGTAGAGTGGTAGCCACTTCGGTGGGAACTTAATATTCATGATCTCACTTCACAGAGTAATTACAGCACCTCCATCTCTCAAACAGGGAACCTGTGGCTTACAGAATTTACATAACTTGCCCAAAGAGACAAGTCTGACAAGTGGCAGAGTCAAGGTTAGTCCCCATGTCAGTGTGACTTCAAAGACTAGGCACTTCCTTCACTCTCTGCACGGCTTCAGTGTTACCGGAGTGTGAACAGTGAGGGAGCTGACGTGTGACACTGAGCAGAGAAGGTGTGACTAGACTTTGGATCTGGAGTTTTTGTTTAATCTTCTTTTAGCCACAGTGAAGTCTCACTACAGTCTGAATCTCAGAGTCCCTGGCCCCTGCTTGAATTTATCTTTAGCTCTCTAATAATCCAACCCCTTTGGACTCTATCTAAACTGTCTTTCAAAGGGTTGTGGGGGAATGGATCATAGAAATAAACAAATATTAAAACATTTAACAAGCAACATTATTCACAGCCTGCATCCAATGCTATTCTGGGTGTGTCATGTGCTCCTGAAGTACATTTCACACTGAAATCTACTATTAATAACCAAAATAAAAGTCTGAAGCTATGTCAAGCTTTACGTACATAAACTCACATAATCCTTACAATAACCCTAAGAAGTCCATATTATCATCCTCAATTTATGGAGGGAAGCAGATGCTCATCAAGTTTAAATACTTACTCAAGGTCACACAACTACAGGTAGTACAGCAAAATATGACTCCAGAGCCTAAGGTTTTCATTTCTGTAATAGCCTATATGTCTCATGGTGGCCGTGTAATTTTTTAAAATACCCAAATACTCTGATCTGAATTTGTATGTTTGTAGAAGTTTTCATATATAAGTACTCTTATAATTACTCTATCAGAATTGTTAGTTTTGGCATACAGTGCTTCATTAAATAAAAAGAAAAAATTAATTAGATATGCCACTTGAAAATTTCATACATTTACATTATTAAGCACCAGGAAACTTAAAATCTATTTGAATAAGTAGCTTAACACTGCGTATTTTCATTAGGATTTTTTTCAGGTAACTTTTCATCCTAAGAAAATGGAATGTTTTGTGGTGGTTAGTATCAAAACTATTTAGGGTTCAAGTAGAAATGCGATACTCCATCTTTTTAGAATCCTGTTTTAAAAGCAAACAACATGTCTTTCAGTGTATTTGTTTGTAAAACAAGTATTTGATACAAGTTTAATGGAATGAACAAATCACCAAAATTTATAAATACATGGGAAAACTATAGACATGAAAGTCCAATACTGGTATCATTTTTTGGTGTCCCCCTTTCCTTTCAGTTTGCTACATCTACTCATAAAAGTAAATCTGCAACTCATATTAGCAAAAATGCAATGGGAAGGGAATAGAATGGAGATAAGTAAAAATATATATTATGTAGTATATCTAATGAATGAATAAATTTGTCTTATTTTCTCATCTAAACATGACTTACTAGTTATTTCCTTTATTTTACAGTCTCAAAACAAACCAGGCAGCAATGCTTGTGAATCAATTGTTTGAACCCACAATATTCAGACTGGGGATGGGACGCAAGCTCCTACTTTGATTAATACACAAAACGATGTCCAAAACACTTACCAATTTGTACTTGCTCAGGCTGGCTAAGAGAAACGAATGCTGATGTATCATCAATCCAAGATATCTGAATGTTACCTGTAATATTGAATTAAATGTAAAGTGAACACTTGACCATTAGATAGAATCAGATTTCATTTTCATCTGTTATATTTCAGTATACCTGTTAATTTAGAGAAAGATGAGGTGCTGGTTTAAAATAAAATCAAAATTTATCATTTTGATATTAAGAAATTGATAAGTTTATTATAATATCATACTATAAAAAGCTAAATCAGAGATCTACCACAGCCGTTATTTCAGTGAGAACTTCAAGAAAAAAGACAAACCGGGGGAAAAAGGAGCGTTAAAAATTTATTTTAAAATCAAAACATCCTTCATGATTCACAATGTCATGCTAGCACTGGAAACTTTGTCGGTATCAAGATCACAAACAAAATTCAGAGACTACATAAATTCAAAATCATAACAATTTCTTTTTAGAGATACAAACTTTGAAAATTACAAATGGGAAAAATAAAATACATCACTGTAGCAAGAAATAAGAAAAATTCAATGCTGATTTCAAAGCCAGGTAAAGAAACCAGGTGTCAGAACAGAAAAAAAGGAAAAGAAGGTGTCAGAGAGAAAACAAAAACAGATTAACGGGGGGGGGGGGGGAATGGACCAAACAGGGGCAGGAAGCAGTATAGCATAATGGAACAAAATGATTTTCAGAGAAACGATTCTCAAAAAAGGCTAACTGTAAACAGAATGAAATATGGAACAGTGCTGAGGAGAAGGAAGGAGGAGTGGGGTGGGAAGTTGGAGAAAACTGAAAAGAAAACAAAAGATTTAATTATTCTGCTACCATGCTTCTTGAAAAAAAATGCAGAAAACTGAAATTTTTTTAAAAAGGATAAACACACAGGAATTTAGCAATGAAAAAATGTTTTAATTCCAACTAAATTTTCAAAGGTAGGGAAACTGCTTTGTTTTACTGTCACAGGAGAAAAACTCTCACTTCCTGATGTACAAATAAGTCTCATAATGACTTTTTCAATTAGAAAGCCACTTACTATTATTTTGTTACCTCTCTACTCTACATGTTGTCTTTGAAATAAATAATAATAGCTAATATTTACTAAGTAGTTACTATACGCCACATACTATTATAAATTCCTTCCATGGATTAGCTCATTTTAATCTTTGTGAAATGTCTAAGAAATGGGAGGTATTAATGATCATCATCAGCTCCATGAGGAAACGACGATATAGAAGGGTTACTCATCCAATACCACACAGTAATTTTCTTCACTTTACATGAAAAACAATTCTACTCAGAGCATCCTACTTAATTTAGCCAATTAAAGTTTGACTACACAGGGAAAAAAACTTAACAATACAAGAAACAACATCGAAAACTTTCAAAAGAAATGCACTGTGAAATCAACTGTATTTCTATACCTGTGTTTAAGTTTAAAAACAAAACTAGAATTTCAGAAGACATTTAGACTATCTGCGAAGATTAGAGTAACATTCTAGAAATATACCTGCTTCCACTTGCTTTTCTAAAATTTAAGTGGGTAAAGTTTTTTACTTAAAAAGCTAATATATGCTTACTTTAGAAAATACAGAAAGCATAAAGAGGAAGAAAAAAATCTTATCTAAAACATTCACTGATAGTAGCATGGTGTTTCCTTTCAATCTGGTTTCTATACAAAGCTGTTTAAAAAATGATTTTAATTACAAAGGAATCCTACTTTGTATTCACTTTTTACTCTAAATATTAAAATACAAACACTGTATCATCTCTTAATAAACTCTTCAAATATTTTTAAGTGGCTACATACTAGTCTATTGAGAAAACAGGTGAACACTTACTAAACATTCTTACTATTGGACATTTAGATTTTTGCTACCTTCACTTTATCCAAGAATATCCAAAGAGAGCAGCCCAAATACTTCATTTGTTAAAGAGGCATTGCTGAAGACTTAACAATCAGAATAGTCTTTATAAACCTTAATCAGAGACTGTTCAATTTAACCTAATCACCTGACCTAATAAAAAGGAAAAAAGAAAAGCTGTCCTACCTCACACATATCACATATCATGGTCCTCTCAAATATCTGTGTTCATCTGCTTTGATTATTCAATGCCAAGCAATGACCAACAGGCTGCCCTTAATCTTAAAAATAATTTATCCTCAGCCTAGACTTATTTGCCATGGTCAGCAGTAAGGGAAGTCATAGTAATTGTATCTTGCTTTCCATGGATTAATAATAGCACTCTATTGTGCGTTGCTATTAAAAGTTCCTCAGATCACATTAGCACAAAAATAGCAGCATGCCAAACTACCAAAAATTCCGTGAGATTAAAACCTTGCCAATTAATATTCTTTCATGCCCCTGAAGCTATCTAGACCAAAGGAAGAGCAAAGTCTTAGAAGTGCATTTGTACTTGTGATGAACTTACCAAAGGCACTGAAAAGCTGGTAAAGGTCACTGGTTTTCCACTCTTTGGGGAATGTCACATGGAGAACATGATCGCGTTTAGGCTGCACTGTAAAACAAATTTTTGCTAAAAGTTTGATAGCTGAAAAGTGAACAAAATACCAGCGGTTCTTTAAGTCCAAGCTAACTTGGGTAATCATAAATGCCTCCTGATTACCAAACATCTAAAAGCATTCTTAGGAATGGCAGGGCTCAGCCAACTTTGCCTAGATATCACGTTCTTATATTTTATAGAACCCACAACAATTTGAACCCTAAGCAATTCTATGCAGAAACATTTTTGCTCATAAAGTTGCTATGAGAATTATTTAAAAGAAAAAAATGGCTGCTGTTTGAGAAGTTTCATTAAACGTTTAACTTTATTTTAATCTAGTTGTCCAGATGTTTGTTTAGCTAAAAAAAAAAAAAAATGCACTGTCCAAATTAAATGGACTAATTGTGTTTACCTAAAGGCAATTCTAAGTCATAATCTTGTGTTCTAATATCAGACCCACTGAGCAAGAAACCTAACCACTCTAGCCACTCATGGCTTTATGACAGGGGACCCCCCAAAATACCTGAATTTATTTATTAAAAATTGTGCATTTATTCTGATATGTTTCAACTTCAGTCACCCTCGAAGTACTGTCCACTTGATGCAATATACCTATCAAGACATTTTTCTTTTTCTTTTTTTTTTGCCTTCTTTTTAAAAAAATATTTTATTGATTATGCTATTTCAGCTGTCCTAATTTTTCCCCCTTTGCCCCCTCCGTCCAGTACCTCCATTCCCTCCAGCAATCTGCCCTCTCCCCACCCCCCACCCAATAAAGACATTTTTCCACTGCTCCAAACAGTTTTTGAAATCGACAATTTTGATGCCTTTAATAGTTCTGCCATTTTCTTATTTTACCTTTCCACATCAGACATCAGCAAAACCTTCCCTTTTGAGGACTTTTTTCATCCAGGGAAACAAAAAAGAGTCACTTGGGGTGACACTGGGTGAACAGGGAGGATGGAAAATAGGGGTCATGCTGTTTTGGGTCAAAAACTGCTGAACACTCAGTGAATTAAGGGCAGGTGTGCTCATAAATCACCCATGATGAAATGGGCAAACACTAAAGAGTCTTAAAAAAAAATCACTGAAGCTGAATGCAGCCTCTCACAACACCACCAGCTGGTACACTAGTGCACCTGGGTACCTAGACCTCTCACCTAGTGGGGGAACCTCTACTACAAAAGGCCCACCATCCAGAAGACAATTCTGGGTTTTTTGGGTCCCCCCCTTATAAATTGGGAATGACAATATTTAACTTGCAGAACTGTTGAGAGGATAACAGATTAAAATGTAAATCTAATAAGGAGTGCAACACAGTATATCCTCAGATCGATATCATTACAATAACCTTCATCAAGTACTGTTCACCCATTTCTATACCCCTGTAGTATGTACTAAGACAAACATTCTAAGGCTTGGAAGAGAAGAATGGGGATGTGGATAAAGTACAGGATAATTAGAAAATGAAGCAACCACCTCCCAAACAGATCAGCTTTCCAAGGTTTTCAAAAACAATAATTTAAAAAATCACATACTAAACTTAAATATACACTACTCTAATAACTAAAAAAATAGGGAACTTACTGAAATAGCTAACATATCTTAAAACCTATTATACACATATATTTGTAAGAAATTATAAATTTAGAGTTCTAAGTGAAAAAAATTATGGAGATATGTTTTTTAAAATTCAACTCATGCATAAACTGGAAAATGTAAGAGATGAGTTGAGGCTCAAGGGTACCATTAACTTAAGCATACTATTCATATCAACCACAAAATCACTGCCTATTTTTAAATGAATAAAGCTCTTTCTTCAGTCATACTTTTCCTGTTACCCCTTCCAGACCACAGACTTAAATGTGTAGATGTGTAAGAAAATAAAATTTCACTTACAGTCTGGTCCTTCCAAGTTTAGATAGGGAATATCCATGACTCTCATAAGAAATAACCTACAAAAAAGAAAGAAAGAAAGAAAAACAGGTAATGAACTAATTTCTACTGAAAAGACAGGCATCTATTAAAATTTTTAGTGGCTACTTGATTAAATTACTCTATTTTAAAAATTATTTTAAAAGCTCTTAAGATTCATTTCAAAGATTTTTCTTGGGCTCTTTCAAATATCAAAAAACAAACTGGGGTATCCCCAACACCTACCATAGTTCCTGGTATTCAGTAGCTGCTAAGTGAATATTAGCTAAATCAATGAAATTAGTAATCAAAGAGTCAAAAGAAAGTCCTCTGCAGACCTGCCTTGTCAGTCCAGAGACACTGAGGAAAAGGCAAACATTATAGAGTGCTAAACATTTTCCCAACCTAGGAACAATTGTTCCCTAAATTGTAGAGGTCACCCCTATAATTGGTGTTTTTTGAGTTGAAAATAACAGCAGAGATGTCTTTTTTAAAGAAAACTATCACACTGATATAAACCATGGTAGTCATTTTATGTATGACTTCCACAACAGATATAAAGACACCTAAAAAAGAATGCTTGAAAATTGCAAGTCTATAATGCCATTTAATTTTCTCTTATTTACAAGATTATGGTCAAAACATCAGGCATTCTGTTGTTTGTGAGAGGATTTCAATGAGTTTTATTTAGATAACTACATATGATACACTTCTGGTTGAGAGTACATTATACAGCAAATTAAAAAGGCAATCCAAATGTCCAACAAGCAATTAGTTTGGCTTTACTGACCCACAATTAAGGCATTTTTTACAAGACATTCAAAAGCAGGGCATGATACTGTTCACAAATGGAACCATCAGCCTGAACAACACTTTCATTAAAAGTAGAAAAAAGAAGGCATGGTATTCTATGGTTTGAAACTTGTGGCCAAGCCTACAATTTAATAAACCAAATCCTATGGCTAAGAAACCAAATTTATTTTTACTTCACTAATTTAGGCTAAAGTGTACCATTCTGGTTCTGGTAGCTATTTTTTACCCAATTTAATTAGTACTACCTGCAATGCCAGTAGACAATAAAACATATAAAGCACCTAACACACAGGAGATTCTCCTGGCAGTAGCTATTCTTACTATTGCCAACCAGAACCTGGAAAGGTATTCCTGAGTTAGAAAGCTCAGTATTTTTATGTTTCATAAAATCTTAAATTCTCCATTTAGCAATTTTAACAATGGTTTCCAAATTCTAAACATAAAATTAAAAATCATTTTAAAGTTAGCACAACATATCAAGCACCATAAAAATAATTTAAAAATTTTACCCTAATTTCAACAGAAGAATAAAGTTGAAATGACAAGATGTTTATGGCCATACTGCCAGATACACCAATAATCAAAATCAACCTCAAGATTTAATAATATGTGGGGGTGGTTAAATTATAGTTCATCATGTCTACAGAACATTAAACAATCAAAATAAATTCAAAATAACTTTTGAGAACTTCACAACATGAAGAAACTATGATACAATTTCAAATTTTAAAAAAAGCACAGAAGTTTGTACTATAATTACAGCTTTGTAAAATATTTATCATTAAACCAAAAATAAAAAATATCCCCACACCAAGAAAAAAAGCCAATGGTTTTGTGAAACTAAACTTTGTTTTTCAAAATTCTTTTACTATTATTTTTAAACTTAAAAAAAAAAAAACATAAAGGCTACCAGAATTGAGAAACCCAAAGGAAATAACTAGAGACTTTCTTAGAGAAAGACCAGCTGCAAATGCCAACTGAATCAACCTTATATATCCTGTGTACCATCTCACCTGTTGTGGGGGAGAGGAATATAAAGCAAAATCACAAGTTGTGAGTCTACAATTGCTTTATTTCTTATTAAAATACTGTTTTACTTCTAAAATCATGGGACCTCAACTACGAGTTTAGGAGACCTAATGACCTATAAGTGCCAATAAGGCACTTAAAAAGAAAAAGGGACTTCCAGCCAAGATGGAGGCGTAGGTAGATACACTGTGCCTCCTCATACAACCAAAATAAGAACAATTTAAAAACAAAAAAACAACCAGAACTGACAGAAAATCGAACTGTATAGAAGTCCGACAACCAAGGAATTAAAGACATATCCATCCAGACCGGTAGGAGGGACAGAGTCAGGTGGCCTGGCGGAGAGGGGTTGTGGCAAAAAAAAGTGGTAGCTGGCAGACACCAGGCATGCAAGACAACAGCTGACAGACTCTGGTGCACAAGATGGCAGTGGGTGGACCCCGGGCGCACAGGCGGCAGCTGGCAGACCCTGGACATGGGGTGGCAGCGGGAAGACCCAGCCAGGCAGCTGGCTGACCAGGCGGTCCCACGTTCACACAGATAAACCAAGTGAAACTGAGAAGTGAGACAGACCACACAACCCAGGGCCCCAACACAGGGAAATAAAGCCTCAAAACACTGACTGAAAACACCTGTGGGGGTTGAGGTGCCAGGAGAGACTCCCAGCCTTACAGGAGAGTTCACTGGAGAGACCCACAGGGTCCCAGGACATACACAAGCCCACCCACATCAGCACCAGAAGGGCCTAGTTTGCTTGGGGGAAGCAGTAGAAGGGACTGAAATCTGGCAGAGTGGAGCAAGTGCCATTATTCCCTCTCTGACCCCTGCCCCACATACAGCATCACAACCCAGCGAATGGGTTGACCCGCCAGGGTGAGGACCTAAGGCTCCGCCCCTCATTACATAACAGGCGCATCAAGACCAAAAAAAAAAAAAAGCCCTAACAAAAGAACAGATCAAAGCTCCAGAACAAATACAACTGAACAACGAAGAGAGAGCCAACCTATCAGATGAACAGTTCAAAGCACTGGTGATCAGGATGCTCACAGAATTGGTTGAATTTGGTCGCAAATTAGATGAAAAAATGAAGGCTACGCTAAGTGAAATGTACAAGGAACCAATAGTAATGGGAAGAAAACTGGGACTCAAGTCAATGGAGTGGACCAGAAGGAAGAAAAAAACAACCAAACAGAAAAGAATGAAGCAAAAGAATTTAAAAAAATGAGGAGAGGCTTAGGAACCTCCAGAACATCTTTAAACATTCCAACATCCAAATCATAAGGGTGCCAGCAGGAGAAGAGGAACAGCAAGAAATGGAAAACTTATCTGAACAAATAATGAAGGAGAACTTCCCTAATCTGGCAAAGAAAATAGACTTCCAGGAAGTTCACAAAGCTCAGAGTACCCAAAAAATTTGGACCCAAGGAAGCACACACCAAGGCACATCATAATTACATTACCTAAGATTAAAATTAAGGAGAGAATCCTAGAAGCAAGAGATAAGGAGACAGTTACCTACAAAGGAGTTCCCATAAGACTGCCGACTGATTTCTCAAGAGACCTTGTAGGCAAGAAGGGGCTAGGAAGAAGTATTCCAAGTCATGAAAGGCAAGGACTTACATCTAAAATTGCTCTATCCAGCCAAACTTTCATTTAGAATGGAAGAGCAGATAAAGTACTTCCCACATAAGGTCAAGTTAAAGGAGTTCATCATCACCAAGCCATTACTATATGAAATATTAAAGGTACTTATCTAAGAAAAAGATAAAAAACATGTATAGTAAAATGACAGCAAACTCACAATTATTAATAACCACACCTAAAACAAAAGCAAAAACAAACTAAGCAAACAACTAGAACAGGAACAGAACCACAGAAATGGAGAGTACATGGAGGGTTAGCAATAGGGGAGGGAAAGGAGGAGGGGGAAAAGGTACAGGAAATAAGTAGCATAGATGGTAGGTAGAAAGTAGACAGGGGAGGGCAAGAATAGTATGGAAATGTATAAGCTAAAGAACTTATAAGTATGACACATGGACATGAACTAAAGGGGGGGAATGTGGATGGGAGGAGGTATGCAGGGTGGAGGGGAGTGAAGGGGGAAAATGGGACAACTGTAATAGCATAATCAATAAAATATATTAAAAAAAGAAAAAGGACACTCTTCAATTTTTCTCACCATACAAATGTTTAAAATTTTTTTGAAAGATATCTTTTGTGAGAAAAAATAAACAATGGGACTACATCAAACTAAAAAGGGTTTGCACAACAAAGGAAACCATCAACAAAACAAAAAGACAAGCAAATGAATGGAAGAACATATTCGCAAATGATACAACTGGTAATGAGTTAATATCCAAAATTTGTAAGAATTCATGCAACTCAACACCAAAATAACAAACAATTCAATTAAAAATGGGCAGAGGACCTGAATATACACTTCTCCAAAGAGGACATACAGATATTCAATATACATATGAAAAGATGCTCAATGTCACTAATCATCAGAGAAATGCAAATTAAAACCACAGTGACCTGTCAGAGTGGCTAACATCAATAAACCAACAAATACCAGGTGTCGGTGAGAAAGTGAAGAAAAAGGAAACCTCATGCACTCATGATGTAATGCAAATTAGTACAGCCACTATGGAAAAGAGTATGGAGTTTCCTCAAAACATTAAAGAGAACTAGGTTATGACCCAGCAATTCCACTTCTGGGTATGCAACGTGGGGCAAAAGTAGGTTTACAGTTGTAGGTACATGAAATACACAACTTATTCACACATTATTGTTTATTAATTATTGTATTATTTTCCATATAAACAACTGTAAATCTACTTCTGCCCCACTCTGTATACCTGAACAAATCCAAAACACTAATTTGAAAAGACAGAGCACCCCTATGTTTTGCAGCATTATTTACAGGGTCCGGCTGAAGTAACGCCTGCTTGAATGGGATTGGTAGGGTAATAATATGGGTGTAATTTATAATTTTAATTTGCATCTTTCACCTAAGATGTCATATGGTGTGTTTGAGTATGATATTGTTATGTTACAGAATTACGTGCTTATGACTTTGTAATAAAAGATTCTGCAATTAAAAGGGGGCATTATCTGTGTCGGACCCTGTACAATAGCCAAATATGGAAGTAACCCAAGTATCCATCAATAGACAAGGGTATAAAGAAGATACTGGATA